AAATCTTTTTTTGATCAAATATTAATTTTTTTCTGTGTGTTACGCCTATACACTTATTTTACTAAGCACATCGTTAGCTATACTGTACAATATCACTGAACCGAAAACAGCGTCATCGTAGTACAGAATCAGAATCACTTTTTTCTGTGTAAATTACTTAATCTACCACTTAGCAAGTGAAAACTTTAAACTAACTTTCGCCATCTATCAATTATTACGGAACTATTAGATAAATGCACCTACTACACGTGTAAGAAACCATTTTTTTTCTATGCACATAAAAATAAAAGTAATAAAATAATAGTATTCTGTGTAAAATTCAAAAAGATTTTATACAAAAGAAAATTTCATTAATAAATACTCACAGCAGAACAAGCATCTGGGCCATCCGGATCCCGACATGTCTTTTCACAACTATTGGCACAGGAGACACAAATATCATGTATGCCACCTGTACAAGGAGTTGCACAATTTCCGGGCAGTGTTACAGATTTGCTGTTGATAACTTACATGGAAAGAATATTAATAAATAATTTTGTCAGTATCTCTAATAATTATATATCTAAATACACACGTGACATCAGAGAGATTGAGATTAATATTTTCAATATTAATTTCAATGTCATGTCGTGAAATTTTATTGACATCGAGAAGTAACAGCTGGGAGTTTTTTTCCATCAAATGGCGAAAAACCGTATATTAATCAGTCATTTATACGGAGATGCAATGTTGATTATTTGTATTTACTCAATACACGCAATTCTTATTCATTATCAAGCATCTTTATTGATATTGTAAAATATCAATAAATTTAACATTGCATTATAATTTTTTTAATACCACAAAGTAAAGAAAAAAGTTGAATGTTCCTCTATGATTAAATCATATGTAGCAAAAGACAATTACACTTAAAAAAAATTTTAAATCAATTGTATTTGATCTAATACACAGCCAAAAAATTCAACAAAAATTATAGACGGTTATACCAAAAACTAACGATATATCTTGCAATTCATTAGAATTTAAAACTTCGGACCTAACTCTCTTCTATCGAAAAAATTTAAAAACTATGCGCCATCTGTCTGCAATTTTGAGAACTAACTGAGTTAATTCAGGAACTTTATAATAATTACCCGAGTCGAAAAATTTAAACTGATTTTAAGCTAAATGATCTGCATTTGAACTTATTGATCTGTATTTGAACTTTAAAAAACATTTTTATCGGTATTTCATCTACTATTAAAATTATTTTTGATCTGTTTCAAGTCTAAATAACCTTTTAGTAAAATAATTGAGCAACTATGAATATTTTATGCTGTTTCTAATCTAATGAAACTAAAAAGTTTTAAAAGTTTGATCGACTGATAATCTGGGATGATTATAACATTTGGCTTCTTGAAATAAATTAGAATGTGTAAATATACTCCAGAATAACTATTTTAATACATTTTATTACTCATTTTTCGTTATATGAATAGATTATTGATAATATTAATGAATTTAAGTGTTTCCTGTCAATTCTATTCGAAAAGATTAAAAAAGAGTTGATGATAAATTACAATATAATGACCTCACTACTATCTAAAATGGTGGAGTTTTAGACAAGAATTTCGAACTAGACTTGTCTCAGTTTCCCAGAAACTGTCTCTTGGTATTTGATTGGTGTAAAAATTATCATCAAATTCAGCACTTATCTTTAATCATCGTAACGTCATTAACAAAAGATACGAGGTCGCCGTTAATTTTGATTGTGGTTACATAAATTACAGTAAGCTTGTGTTTTTTCGTATACTCCATTGACGAACTCAATGCTAGTCAGATGAGCGTGCGTGTACTTAAATATCACCAAAATTTTATTGAAATCATTGACATTCAAACACTGAAAAAAAAATTAATTTTCATGCAAAATGGCATTTGTTATGGTAAGTAATGAGAATATTCTGCTAAATGGTGTTACTTTCTAAGAAAATGAATACCTGCTTGTTCCTACAGATCAACCTTTAAAATATCTCGTCACTTTTTTGCTTATTAGAAATAAAGTTTTTATGGGTGTGGTGCATGTCTACACAGAATTTGTTTCCATTTTGAAAACTCACAAAGTTTATTTCTATACAAGTTAATATAATACGTTTCTTTTTACATAGAAAAATCTCTATACAAGATTAATTCTATACCGCGGCATCACTATACATATAAAAATAATAAACAGAATATTTATGCACAAGAATATTTCTCAGATTTTTAATCTCTACGTATAGATTATCTCTACACAATCCTAACTTCAATAAATCGTAAGTGAAAAAATTAAATAGTTATATAGTTAGTTAGTTATTTATTTTTATGCCAAGGCTATAATGGCCGAATGGCAAATACAAAATTATATATATATTTAATAATATACAGTACAATAAAAATATACATTATTAGTTTAATTACTTATTTTAGTACCTAAGTATTATTATTATTATTATTTTAGTATTGATTTATTGAGTTTTAATTCTTTATTTGTAAATTTATATTATGATTTAACTGAGATGATAACTTAAGACAACGTCTGAGCTTATTTACAAAATTAAAATTACAATACCCTACTTTGTTCTTAACAATTTATATTTTTTAATTATTTCATACAATTTTCTAATAATCTTAAGTCTTAAATGATGAATAACTATCATTATATCTTATAATGATTTACTTAGTATTAGTGTATAATAACTTAGATATCTAATTTAAACGAGTAGTCAAATAACCTATTCTTAAATGCTTTAAGACTAGTTGCATTTATTATTTCATTTGGTAATTCTTCCCAGAGACAAATTGCAGTAACAACAAAAGAAGTCTCATAATAAGTTGTACAAAAATTTGGCATTTTAAAGTTAATGTTGTTTTTCTTTATTGCTAATCCGAACAAAAACAGCTTCACTGTAAAAAAAAATCGCGCCAAGTCCACGTTCATAAGATTATTAGAAAAAAAAATTTACGTTTTTTATTTT